AGTCTCATTCCCCTTTCTATCTCTTGGGTAGTGTAGAAAGAGAGAAACATGAGAGCTTTTGAGGGGTTGGAAGATAACTCTATTAGGGTTAGAGATAGATGGTTTCAGACCCTGAATTTTTTCATTATGAGTCATTCTCTTTACATAATGGGGGATTTTGGGGACTTTATTGATATTTTAATTGATATGTAATTATTTTTTGTAAATGGGTTGGCACCCCCATGGTGCTTGTGAATGAATGAATCACACGGTACTTTTTATAAAAAAAATAAATTATTGTTTTCATTTAGGCTAAAGTTTTTGAGTTGCTTCAGTCCATTACTAAGGAGCTTGTGAGCTTTAACTTGAAGGGGAGTGTTGGAGCATAAGAGAGAATTCCTATGTAGGCATTTCCTGTACAAGCACCTCTTCTGGTTGTGGTTGTTGCTATAAAATGGATTTTTTTTTTCAATTTTAACAATAAGAAGAAAACTATAGTAATAAAGTGTGACTTTTCCTTGCTAACACATCTTCTGGTTTCTTAATCTTTCTGTTGCACAGTTAGCTTTTTTTCCTTTAAAGCCATTCACAGAGTTTTAATCATTTGATAGTAGTTATTGTTTTCCCTACTCAACATCTTTTTAGGAATGTTTAGAATCACCTCTTTTGTTCTTTCCATAATTCTCCATTGCGTGTGTATTATAGTTTCTGCATATGGATGTGTTTCTTCATTTTATTTTGCCTATTATTTCATTGATTTATTAATAAGTCTCTGGAAATGGTTCTACAGTTTTAAGGAGCTGGCTGAAAGAACACCTTTGTCAGAGTTACGGACCCCTGAGGAAGCTGCTGCTGGTGCTGCTGCTGCTGGTGCTGCTGCTGCTGGTGCAGCAGATGGACTTTCAGAATCTGGTGAGAAAGTAAATGAAGGAGAGGCTCAACCTAATGCTACAGAGCAATCTCCTAAACCTGTAAGTGCTGGTTTAACAGAAGCAGAGGAGTTGGAGAAGTATATCGCCCTTAGAGAAGAGATGTATAAGAAAGCTAAAGAGTTCGAATCTAAGATCATTGGTTTTGAAACAGCTATACGGAGGCCCTACTTCCATGTGCGGCCCCTCAATGTTGCCGAGCTTGAAAATTGGCATAATTTTCTGGATTTTATAGAGAGAGAAGGTGACCTCAACAAGGTATTCGAGTTGTTTGCTTTCCATCTTGACAATATCTGGTTTGTGGTCTTTAGCTGTCCTATTTATTACACATTGGCTTACAGTAAGTAATATCTGCTGCATCATTTTATTGGCTAAACCGTTGGATGAAGCAACTTTTTAAACGGGAAATTGAACTGAGACTAGAGCAGTGGCCCTCGATTTGGTTACGTTAAGGCTAAGTACTTCGAACCCTCATTTGTCAGTGGACATTTTAGGTTCGTGATGTATAGTAATTTTGCTCTTTTTAAAGTTCCAATGTTATGCATGCAGGTATCTTCTTGTCTTCCTAACCATCTGTCTGTCAGGCAAGGAGGGTCCCTCTTATATTTGGGGGCCTCTCTGTTCCTCCAATGGAGTATTTCTTATGCATTTCTCCTTTGTGTTTTGTGTTATACCTGTGATTATCATCTTGGTGAACTAGGATGTTCGTTTTAACCTGTTATATTTCTGTGAATCAGGTGGTCAAGTTGTATGAAAGATGCATAATTGCATGTGCAAATTATCCTGAATACTGGATTAGATATGTTTTATGTATGGAAGCTAGTGGTAGTATGGATCTTGCAGATAATGCCCTTGCTCGTGCAACACAAGTCTTTGTCAAGGTAGGAAACTTTATTTTACTGGATGACTTGGTGGTATTGCTTGTAGTTGATTTAAATCTATCCTTTTCTTGGTCTTATAAGGAGAAAGTGATAGTGGAACATTTTGAGACTATGGGAGCAGACTAACAATCTTTTGCTCATTGCCTTTTATGTCATTAATTTTTCCTGATGTATCTAAATTATGTAGAAGAACTTAGAAAAGGAACCAATAAGGCCTTGCTGAGAGGCCAAGGCGGCAGGATATTTTGTTTATTGTTTTTCTCTAGGTGGAAGTAATGCCCAATAGTAAGAAATTTTAATATTTTAATCCGTAAACAAAGTGATATTTCTGTCTTGGGATATAGATTTTATAGTGATCAAGAGTTTTGACACGGAACAGAAGTAATAAGGGCTGCAGTGGCTCACTGTTGAAAAATGGACATTGTTTATATATTTATTTTTTCCTTTGTTGTTGACCTGTTCCGAGGTTCATTTTACTGTTTGATCTTGTATTGCCGAAATGATTTGAAGGAAAGGAACTTTCCTCTGATTATGAACTGTGATTGTCTAAAGGACAATATTTGTGTTTTATTTACAAATTTTATCTATTGGACTATTTATGTCGTGGTGGATGCAAGTGTATTATGGCATGTATGAGTATTGATGTATACTTGATCTTGTCTATGTTACTGCCATATATTTAAACTTTTTGTTTGTCACATTCTTTGACAGAGACAACCAGAGATTCACCTTTTTGCTGCTCGATTCAAAGAGCAGAATGGGGACATAGCTGGTGCTCGAGCTGCATATCAACTTGTGCATACAGAAATTTCACCTGGTCTCCTTGAAGCAATTATCAAACATGCAAACATGGAACACCGTCTAGTAAGTTGTTAAGTTGGTGGTGAATTTAATTTGATAAAGATATTTCATTTTGTAACTGTCTCTCATAATTTACAGGGGAACCTTGAAGATGCCTTCTCTTTATATGAGCAGGCTATTGCAATTGAGAAAGGAAAAGAACATTCCCAAACTTTACCAGTGTTGTATGCTCAGTATTCTCGTTTTGTTCTTCTGGTAGGTTGGGTTATTTATGTCTGGAATTGCATTTCTTTCTCTTTTCTTTTTTTGCAAGCAGGGTAGGTACTGTTTTAGGGAAGTTATTATTATCTTTCAGAAACTGACAAGTTAATTGGTTCTTAGATTTTAAATTTATCCACTAATGTATCATCTTGTATTGCTTTATAGAGATGTAAACTGTAGATTAATTTGTGATGATGTGGAACAGACTGACATGAACCGTAATCATTAAAGCAGTGTCTTCCCAACTTAATTAATTATGCTCCCTGAATCTTTTTTTTTTTAAGAAGCCCAACTGTAATGATTGAATTTAGCTTTGTGCACTTGTTTTTGCAGCCTTTTAATATATTTTTTGTTAGGTTATTCTTACTAGTCTAGTATTTGTTCTCTGAATGATCTAATTGCTTGGTTTTTTTCATGTGTAATTCTCATGTATAATCTTTCTATGTTAAAGATGTAACTGAAACTGCAGTTAATATGAGCTTCCTGCTGATATTGGAGGATTAAGTAGTTTGCTTTACGCTTTAATTTTTAGGTGTCCCTTTGTTTTCCTTGTTTCTTATTCGGCGTCTCTTTCATAGTTCTTTGAATTCTGTGTGTAGGTTTCTGGTGATGCAGAGAAAGCTAGGAAAATTCTTGTTGAAGCGCTTGATCATGTCCAACTCTCAAAACCACTCATTGAGGTCTGTTCTATGTTCTTCATCTCTCAATCTATCTTTATCCACTAGTTCTCGAACTCTATAGACTAGCCCATTGTGATGGGGATGGGGATAATACCTTTCAGAGGAAATTAATGGATGATATTCTTTTTCAGGCATTAATACATTTTGAGACAATACAATCACCACCTAGGCGGATAGACTTTTTAGACTCATTGGTTGATAAGTTCATATTGCCCAACTCAGATACTGCCAATGCTGCAAGTCCTGCTGAGAAGGAGGAGCTTTCTAGCATATTTCTGGAGGTAACTTTTTTTTGGTTGTCTTAGCACTTACAGTCATTATACCTGCAATAACTTGGTGATAATATCTTTAGCTTGTCTTGTAATGTGCTTAATGATCTGGCAGTTCTTAGGTCTTTTTGGAGATGTTCTGTCGATTAAGAAAGCTGAGGATCGGCATGCCAAGCTCTTTTTACCTCATAGAAGCATGCCAGAGTTCAAAAAGCGTCATGCAGATGATTGTCTTGTCTCAGATAAAACAAAGATGGCCAGATCCTATGCTGGTGTTCCGTCTGCTCAGTCTTTGATGGGTGCTTATCCGAATGCACCAAACCAGTGGGCAGGTGGCTATGGTTTGCAGTCCCAAACTTGGCCTCCTGTTACGCAAGCGCAGGCACAACATTGGACACCTGCTTATGGGCAACAGGTGATTTTCTCTATTTTTCTCCTTCTATAGTACCTTAATATTGGTTCTTATTACAAGTAATCTAGAAGCTTGTTATATATGAACGTGAATTATCGTCAGTGTAGTATCATACTGTGCCAGGGAATCCTAATATTCTCAATTTTGATTCTTTTACATTAAATTTCATTCTGTGAATACTGAATGCTACTTACCACTTACAAGAAGTTTTTTCAGTTGATATGACACATATTTAGATCTTTACAGCCATTGCTTTCATAGATTTCTGAACATTTCTCTTCTCATGGTTCATTTCTTTCCAAGCTTTTTTGAAGTGAATGGCGGATTTGGACCTGTTTTACTTGGTACAATTACTCCTGGTGTTCTTAACAATATGTATGTGAACATTAATTGGCTGTCCTCAGTAAAGCTTGTTAAGATTCTATTTTATCACGGGCTAATGCAGGAATTATGATAATAATTCAGTATAGTTTGAGTACATAAGAGCATGTTTCTGCAGAATCATTTTAACTCTATGTTACCAAATTTCAAATTCTCATTATTATTATTCATGTGCTGATCTTTTTGAAAATGCTTTCTAATAGGCTGCATATGGTGCATATAGTGGTTATGCAAGCACTTATCCCACTCCTCAAGCACCAACATCCGTACCACAAAGTGCTGCTTATGGTGCTTATCCTTCTACATATCCTGTTCAGGTACACAAAGCTTTTGGTACCAATTGTAATTTTCCTTGGCTAGGTCAATTTTACATAAAGGAATACTGTCATGTTCTTGATTAAAAAATCATTATCTTTCTGTCATGCTATTCAACTGCGCTGTTTGTGCATTACACCTTTTAAGTGAACTGAGAAATTTGTAATTGATTTGTTTTGACACCAGTACACCTGACACGAATTGATGTTAGTTTTGGAACCATCAAATTGATTCATCAGAAAAATATGATGGAACCTGGCATTGTCCAACTTCTGTTTCATTGTACAATATGTTTATGGACGTTGGTTAGGGGATGGTTTAGAACTACAAATAATGGAGGCATTTCTTATTTGAAAAATTTACAAGGCAATTCTTTTGGGATTGTTTATTGTACAGAGCTCATAATTTTCTTATAATTTCAGCAGACATACCCGCAACAAAGTTATGCGCAACTAACTGCATCAGCAGCAACAGTAACCCCTACGCAGCAACCTGGTTCAGCTCCTCAGGCATACTATGGATCTTATTACTGAGGAAGTTGTTGCTTCTTTTGGTGCCTGTAATCTATTCTTTTCTCTCAGTTCATTTTTAATGGTTATCCTTAACTGTAACTTGTTTTTTTCTGGACAAGGGAGGGTGTGGACACGAATGTGCTAGAGGGAGCCCAAAAAAATGGAGGATAGAAATTTGTTCTGGTAGCTACAGTAAGAGAAAATTGTATTACTAGGTAGTTCCTATTTTGTAATTCTCAGGGGTTTTTGCTTTTTGATCCTTTTTTTTTTTTTTTTTTTTTTTTTTTTTTTTTTTTTCTTTTTGCCTTTTCGTGCTTCTCTGCCCTTCCTCACCCAGAAAAGATTTTTTTTTTTTTTAAAAGAAGAGATGATGCTAATATTAGTGTTTGAACTGAGGAATATAACAATCTGGGTTTTGTTTCTCAATTTTAGTTTTAGTTGCTTAAAGATCCTTTCTTTTTTTTTTGGGGCTAGAAATTGTTCTGTTAGGGATTATATATTATGTAAGAACATTGTGGGTAAATTGAGTATTATTATGATGTTTAGTTCATCAGTAATACTTTTGTTAGCAGTAGTCTAGAGTTGCTGAATTATCAGTTTAAGGTTATTATTATCGTTATTATTATCGATCATTATTTGCTCTGACTTGAGAAGAAACTATAAATATAAAGTTAAATTTTTTACAACAAAGAAACTAATAATCTAAGTGCTTAGTATGTCAAACAGGCCATTGGTCTTACACAAATTCGTTCACAGGGCAATGGCCTGTATAATCATTATTTATTACTACGGGAAACGTCTTATTTCTTTCCCTACAAAGAAAAAGTAGTTTGGTAATGCGTAGGGAAGTAATTTTTGCGTGGAGAAAGTAGGAAAATGGTTACACTCATCAAGTATTGAAGTATTTATTTTTTGAGGGTGATTAATCATCTAATATATTAATTTACGTACTAAAATATTTAATGGGATCGGCCATGTTGCTACCACATAACAGATGGATATATTATACAATACTGGAGAGCTGCGTGAAGGTATAAAGGAATTACTGAGTAACATATTCTTTAACATATTAGAGAATAAATTTTGACATAATATCTTTTATATTTAACTCTTCTTATATTAGAGAGTCTAAGTCTGACTTCCATAATTAATTGTTCTTTATATTTTTTCTGCATCAATCACGTAATTAATTAGACAAATCTTTTATGTATATGTTAAATGTTTATTAGAAAATTTAATTAAGTATTATTTTAATAAAATAGATATATTTAGAGATTTAGTGAAGAATGATTAACAAATCTCGTGATTCATCTTAAATTTATTTCAATTATTATTATTTTTTGGGTCCTTTCTTTTAATTTAATAATATTTCTGAATATGGAAGCTGAGCAGGGAATATATTAAATAATTAATTTTGGTAATTAAGTAAAAATATCTATGAGTCCATTTCCCAATAGTCTTATGTTTATAAAGGTCCAAAAATATTTAGAGATGAAGAAAAAAAAAATGTGTAGGGGGGAAAAATTCTACAAAATTATATGAGACTTGTTGTGCCAAATGGGGGAAGAATTTTAAGGCGGATTTTTTGTTTGGGTTAAATTTATTTGTTCTGTTTTCAGTCAGTAAAAATCTCAAGGACACTCATTTAGTACTTCCTTTCAAGAATTTTTTTCTCCTAAGGAATTATCAGATTATCCCCTTCCCCTCTCTCTCTCTCTCTCTCTCTCTCTCTTAGGGTATTTTGAAGATGAAGTCATGTCCCATTTTAGAACTATCATCTATCTATTTATATAGAGTTAATATGATGTCAACTTTTTCACCTTTTACTTGGGTAATCCCAACAAATATTGTTGTTATGTTTAACAATAACAATACTATAAGAATTTTAAATATGTACACACACACACACACATATATATATAAAAGAGACTTCTAACACATGATTAATGGATTTAAAACAACAATAATCTCAATCGTTCGGAAACACAATTAATTTATAAAACAAAGATTTAATGTTATCAATCCCTGCTTCCAAATCTTTTTTTGAAGTAATTTTTCATCATCAACCCACGATGAAAGTTTTCCAAAACATTAAAATTATGAGATGCATTATAGTATTAAGTATTTGATTTATGTTATGTATAGTACTTAAATATTTTAAATCTTCATATAATAAATAATAAATATTTGTGAAATAAATTAAAATGACTATTGAAATCGAAAAAAAAACAAAAACAAAAAATTGCCGTGTACGATTCCCATCCTAATTTATTTAGGGTTAATTGCTGTGTGTGTATAAATAACAAATTCATGAAAAAAAAATACACTAATTATAATTGTTTATTATAAGACATCTTTTTATACATGTACAAGTAAAATTCAGACTCAAAAGTAAAATATTTAAAATTTATTATGAAATATTATAGTATTAAAGTTAAATTTTTTGACCATATATCTTATTAATTTTAAGAAAAATACAACTTTTCTAGTAAAAAGGAGACTAAATTAACTTGTTATAGTAGTCAAAATATTTTATTAATGATGAGGATTGAGATAATCATTACATATATATATATATGTATATGGAAGCGGTGAGTAATTTCATAAATTTGTGCAAATTCTAATTAATTACTATACCACCTTAACAAATTTTTCCTTCCCCAAAACCATTACACACACACACACACACATATATATATATATATAAAGTGTATATATATGTATATAAATAGATTTAGAAAGTAACTTTGTAAAAAAAAGATTTTAGTTAATTTTGGAATTGTATGACAAATAAACTAACAAAATCATAAGTGATCCAAATCTTAAAAGTAGCTAAAAAACCTAACCAAGAGTACACCATCATCATCAATCAGAAGATCTCCCAATCTTGTTGATGGACGGTTGGGAGTACTTAACGGGCTTCAAAGTGGTCCCCACCAACCCGACAGCTGTTACATTTTTTGGGGTAAATCTCCGGTGAATATATACCGTTTGATATTTTGATGATTCCGAATTTAATTTTAATAAAATGAAAAATAAAAATAAAAAATTAAATAAGAGCAGCCTCCGCAGTGGAGCAGACAAAGGCTCTCAAATCTCTACTTCACAGATCTAAAGCTTCCGTCTTTTCTCTCGACAAAATCCTCTCTAGTCCGTAACCCACACTACCAAGCTCTCTTTTTTCCTCTCTCTGCGTGTTTGTTTTGTTGAAGAAATAGGATTAGAGCTAACGAAAGAAACAATAAAACCAATTACAGTGGTTTAGTGGGGCTTACCTTTTCATCTTCTTTTTCTGTGTTTGCAAATTAGGGTTTTTGGTGGGTGTTTTTTATTGTTTTTTTTTAATCTTTGCCTTTTTTGAGGATCTGGATTAATCATAATTTAGATAGGAGCGAGGAACTTTGTGGGGGGTTTTAGGTAGATTAGATCGTGGTCCGGTGCATGCTCTTGCTGTGAGGTAAGAGCAAGAAATGGCTACTCCTTATCCAGGAGCTGTTCAGGTAAACCTTTGATATGTTTATTGGTCCATTTTAATTTTCTCTCTTTCTATGTTGGTTTTGGTGAAAATGGGTCTGTGGCTTCTCGCTTTCAGGTAGGATCATACTTCGTGGGGCAGTACTATCAGGTGCTACAACAGCAGCCAGATCTCGTTCACCAGTTTTACTCCGATGCCAGCACCATGATTCGGGTTGACGGGGATTCCAGCGAATCTGCCTCGGCCATGCTGGTAAGAACTCGCATATCCGTCTGTTATTTGGAATATGCACCTTCACCTTTCATTTCAAAAAATAAAAAATCCGTATATATTGCACGATTACATGGTGTTAATTATATGTCAAAAAAGGGCGTTTCTGTATGAGTATTTCATGTCGGGGAAAAACTAGATGATTTTCGTTGGCTAATTAATTTGAACTTTGGAGGGATGTTTGAATTTTTGTGGACTAAGATTTATGTTGGTCAAGGGCTTTTTTTCATGAATGGGTAGATTTATTTTTTGAAATATTCCTGTGAATATTTGACAGTAGCAGTATTGGAAATGAAGTAGATAACCTTCGAGCTTGCAGAAAGCTGCAACGTTTCTGATTATTTTCTGAAGAATTTTAGTCCTTTCTATTTGTTAATATCTGAACTATCCAATTTATAGTAGGTTTCGTTCTAATAACTTTTGAAAATATTTTCTGTGGTTATTATTTTGCTAGCCAGATTGTTAATTGTCAAGTTTGAAATGCACGTGATTGATGAACCGCCATAGATGACAAATTGAAATGAAGTGGATACAAGTTCCACTTTAGTAAACAATCACATAAATGGAGAGGATCAAAATCAATTTTTCTGATTGTTTTGTATGTTTTTTGATTTCTACATTTGCTGTCAATAGCGCCTTAATGGTGTTATCCTTCTGGTATTTCTTTTTTCTTTTTTTACAAAGTAAACTATTGCATCCTGTTTGTAGTTATTCCCACCATTAATTTTGATGTTTGTGCTATTATTTTTAATTACAGCATAAATTTTATGTTTGACCCATGCTCACTCCTGGCATCCCCTTTTTGTATTCCAAACCCAAGGAATTTTTGGCAGGTTAGAGATAACTTGAACGTAAAAATTGATGCTATAATTATACATATTACTCTAATATGAACATTGCACTAGTGGCACAAAATTGAAACAGAACCAACATTAGTATATTTATCTTTCACTCCCTTGTTCCTTCCCTGTGACTTTGCAAATCAAATTATTGTATCAATATATTGAATTTTTAGTTTCTTATATGCTTAACCTTCCTATTTTCTATCTGCAGCAAATTCACACAATGGTCATGTCACTAAATTTTGCTGCAATTGAGATCAAAACTATTAATTCTCTTGAATCTTGGAATGGAGGTGTTCTGGTGATGGTTTCCGGCTCTGTTAAAACCAAGGATTTCAGTGCCAGAAGGAAATTTGTGCAGAGTTTTTTCCTTGCTCCTCAGGAGAAGGGTTACTTTGTTCTGAATGATATCTTTCAGTTCATTGATGATGGAACATTTTTTCAACATCCAGCTCCCCTGTTATCAGACAACAAACTTGACGCCCAGATAAATGCTTCTAGTCCTCTCTCAGAACCACAAGGTACAGGACATTTATATTAGAGTAATCACAGCAGTGTTACTTATTGAAAGCCTGATACTGTTTTCATTGCTCTTCTTTGTGTTTTTGGATTTTGTTCACTCTTTCATTATTAAGATTCATTTTGAGCTGAAAGTATTAATTGGTTGGTCTAACTCTCCTGCCTTGCTAGTTTCTGACTATGTATTGGAGGAAGAAGCAAGGGACTATGTGAACTCGGTTCATATAGAAGATGATCCTGTTGACAAGTATAGTTTATCCGAGTCTCCACAGCAAGAGGACCTCAAGGCTGAAATTGTGGTGGAGGAAACTCCTGCAGAAGAGGCCTCTGCTTCTCATCAGACTACAGTGACTGTGCAAGAACCCCCAGTTGCTGCTGTGGAGGAACCTGTGGCGGAGCTTACAAAGAGAACCTATGCTTCTATTGTATGCACTTATCTGCTGCTTTTTCATTTGCTTTTATGCCTGTGCCAATGCTTGTGCATTGCAATGTGGGTGTTGAGTGCTGGTGTGTGCTTAAGTGGGTTAGCTGCTCTTACCTAAGGAAGTGGTAACAATTTGCTATGCATGTATATATTCTTTTCATCTTGAATGTACTATGAAGTGATTAAGTTAGCAGGTTATGTGTGTATTCATGCATCTGAGTACATTTTGTTTTCACCTATGCCTCCTTTCTTGTTGAATTCTCTATAGGAGTAATTGTGTAATATATATCCAAATTTGTTGTACTTTGTTACTGAAGAAACCTTCACTAAGTCCTGTCTAATGTACAAGCATTGTGAACCAAAAGGGTGTTTCCATAAGGTATCATAAAACAGAACCATGCATGAGAGTGACTAGATACTGGAATTTTTAGTTGTTCAAAGTTTGTTTTGGAGGATTGACTGTTTCTTTACCTGTGTAGCTACGAGTTGCTAAGGAACCGTCAACACCAGCTATTTCTACTCAGACATCATTTAGCAAGAGTGCTCCAACTACTTCAGAATGGAACTATGCACCCCAGCCCCCTGCTCAACAGTTAAGCTATGCATCATCTTATGTGCCTGAATCTGGAGCTGAGGTGACAGAGGATGGCTCAGGATTGGAAGAAGGTGAAGCCTTTTATTTCTACTATTTCCATTAGATGAGGGCCTCATCATGTGATAATAGTTATGGCATCGTTGAGTTGTGTTTGTTTTTTGGTGGATGATTTGAGCACTGTCACAACATTTAGCTGTGATAGCATCCTCCCCTCCTGCTGTCATTTCAGTGAGCTCCTTCACTACAATGTCATAGGCAAACTTATAATATTTTTTAAAAAATTGTTCAGGGTTTTAGCCTGATACCTTTACTAGGTTGGTAACCATCTACCATACACTTCATTTTTTTTTTTTGCTCAGATGTATATCAACTTTCAATATTACAGGGAATAGTTGCAGAAAAGTATTTTTGAAGCTAGCTGGTTGCAATTATTTTCCATTATTTAACTTCCTAAAATGCCTTATAGAGTTGGAGAGCTTAGTTTGTTGCCATTGACTTTGTCCTTTGCGATGGCACTTTGAGCCTGCACATTTACTCACAAGGTACCCTCTGTACATTAGTTGTGGAGAGCTCCTTTGAAGTGGGTGATTGGGAACTCAACAGGTCTGGCAGGCATCTGAGTCAGATCAGGGTTGGAAGAGAGTGATCAGCATTCTCCCTCTATTCTAGGGGATTCTTTTGTCTAATGGTCTAGGCCTCTTTTTGGTATCTTATGGATTATTCTATTATCTAATGATCTAGGTCCATTTTTTGGTATCTCAAATGCGGAGGGTGTAGAGGATCTTCAAGACATATTTAAGATACATTCTTTAACTTGTAATGCATTCTTTCGTACATTGGCGATGACATGACCCCTTGCAGCTTGTTTACAATAATTTTCATTCTCGGAAAGAATTATTCATATCATATTTTGAACTGTCAACTTGATTCTTTATTGTTCATTGTTTCAGGTGAATTCAAATCCGTTTATGTAAGAAACTTGTCCTCTACAGTAACTGCTGCTGAAATTGAGGAGGAATTTAAGAACTTTGGTAGAATCAAGCCTGATGGTGTTTTCATTAGAAACCGCAAGGTAATCTTTTCTTTTAATCATGCACATGTATTTAAATCATAACCTGGAAAGAACTATATTTAGTATTTGATTGATGCAGGATGTTGTTGGCGTTTGTTATGCTTTTGTTGAGTTTGAAGACATGCTTGGTGTTCAAAATGCTATCAAGGTTTGGATTCTCTTATCTTATGGTTTGTATTTTTTTTTCCCCTAAATGAATGGTGTCTTTAATTGGTTCTGCTTGTTGACTCAAGCTAGTGATATGGTATTTTTAACTTCAATATAATGCCTTGTGACAGCGATGAAGCACATATATCAGGTGTTGTAATTTATTTCCACAATCATCATAGGATATCATCTCTAATTTGAACATTAAGGATTTAGATTATGCAATTGTTGGTAGATTGATCTTATGTTCATTATACAGGCATCTCCCATAGAATTGGCAGGAAGGCCAGTTTATATCGAGGAGCGGAGACCAAACAGCAGTGGCATTCGAGGAGGAAGTATGTGTCTCTTTTTTATTTTTTAGTATTTATGCTTCTGTGTTGGTTTGCATTTTCTTTATCCTTTATATATATACTACTTGTTCCCTTATAAGAAGGAATTCCTTGTATCATTCTGTTGATGTTGGTTACATCCGGATTCTGTTCTGTTGATCAGGAAGGGGACGTGGTAGGGGTGGTTATCCAACAGAGTCCCCAAGGGGACGATTTGGTTCTCGTGGTTTGGGCAGGGGAGGGAACCAAGAAGGTGGTGAATTCAGATTGAGGGGTAATGGTTTTCAGCAGCGTGGTTCACGATAAGCTATAAGTATGCACGAGCTAAGTTTGCAATGGGCAGAACTATAAATTAAGGAGCTTAACAGAATTTTTCTTTGTCTGGGAATGCTAGAAGGTTGCTGATTCCTGATTGAACACTTACCTGTTGATGGCGTCAGGAAAATGTATGTGTACTCTTTTAGGTGTGTTATTTAAGTGAATGGGAGTGTTGAGGGACAATTTTTGTTCTGTTTCCTCTGGTACATATATCCTGCTTCTCCGCTTGAATGGTTTTTAATGTGCAATTCAAGTGGGAAATTTTTGGGATTTTGTGTGAGGAAAAGTGACAAGACAATCATTGTGGTTGGATATGAAGTAACTTTTGTTTGAATTCATGTATCTCTGTTTTCGATCCCCATGTCCATTCTTATTCAGGACTCCAGAAGAAAACTGGTACAGATGCGAAATCTCCATGCATGGCCATAAAATGCTACAATCAACATCCTGGTTGATCATAGGGGTAAACATGAAATCGAAGGTATGCAGTTTCGAATTTTCTAGAATACTGATGGCTGCTTAGCTAATTTGTATTCTAGAGTTCATATGGTTCTCATTCAAATCACAATTAAGGGATTCTCTTGTTTAGTATTGTCAAAAACCAAGTGCCCTGCATCTTCATTTAACAGATGTCAATCATCATGTACAAACAGAATGGTTGTTATTCCTTTCCATACACATGTTTCTGTTAATTAATATTACAAAAACCACTTGTGTTCTACACGCCTGCTAATCATATTGGCCAGTGCAATTCTTTCTGTAGTCTTAAGCATTAGCAGAAGCTACAGGCCCTTGGTGGACTTGTGCCAAGACACGGTCGTGGGCATTTTCGACATTGCATTCGTCCTCATCTTCCTCCGTTTCCCAGAGAAAACTGGCATATGCAGCATGAACATGGCTGAAATCAAACAAAGAATTGAAGTCAGGCCAATCAAACCTATATATACACGTACTTATGAACCGAGAGAATTAATAGGCATAAAGAGCAACGCTAACCTATCTTGAGGAGAAGCCTGAATTGCTCGTTCAAAGTAAAAAGAAGCTCTGTCAAGGTCACGGTGTAGTTTCCATACCAGCTTAGCATATTGTGATAAAATTTCACCATCATTTGGATCTAGTAGGATTGCGCGAGAGTAGTACTCCATCGCGCCCTCAAGGTCTTGTTTAGACTGTTGACGTAAACGATTAATTTTTCCTCTAAAACAAATTCTCATAGTTGCAAGTAATTTCAATTCAAACTTAACAAAGAGAGAGCAACACTCACCTGATACAAAAACTGAGCATAATTCCGCAAAAATAAGGGGTTAGCAGGATTTTCCTTCACCATTCTCCTGTAGTACTCTTCTATGCTCTGATTATTTCCACCATCTCCACCAGAACCAGCTGAAAAAAATTCCCCACCACCACCACCACCACCTCCATGACCACCACCACCGCCGCCATTACCATCAATGCCAAGCCCTCTTGCTAGAAACAATCCTTGACTAACCAAACCCATTTCTTGCTCAAAACCCAGGTTCAAGCTTTTGTTCACCATTTCAATCTCCTCTCTCAATACCAATTTATCCTTGTTTGCTAAATCCAATTCACCACCATTAATACCCATCATCTTGTCTCCTTGTGCTCTTGCAACCTTTCCAGCATTTTCCGTCTCTTCATCAAATCCTACATTGACACCTTCTTTGTCTTCTTTTTCCTCATACCCAAATCTTGAGTTGTTAACTGCGAAAGAACGTATTGTCTCCAACTTCAAGCACTTGGTTGGCGGGTTATTTCTGCTACTGTTTTCTTCATTGCTGGAGGAACAAGGAGCATGGAGAAGCCCTTCAAGGTTGCCTGCAGATTGAGCTCGCCGGATGCCATTGCTAGAATGGGAGATTTCAGGGAAGGAGGGAGAGATGGGAGAGGAATTACAAGAGAGATGGAAAGAGCCAGCAGATTGGTGAAGGGAAACCTTATTGTGGGTTTGGTGAAGGGCGGTGGTGGGTGGTGGGAAGTGATGCCTGATGGTGCTGTGGGAGGTTTCATGGTGAAGATTGTTGTTATTATTAGGGCTTTCTGCAAAAGAATGGAGGAGAGAACCAAATACTGGTGTTGAAGAACTCCTTAGCAACATGTTTTCTGATGATTGAATCCTCTGTTGGTGGCTGCTGGTTTCCTATTATCAACTTCTGCGAAAAACAGAACAAGAAATTCACTACATGAGAAACTCCATCTTGTTTCCTGCTCTCAACTCCAAAAGGGAGAAAAAAAAAAAAAAAAACAAAATCAAACCCAATAATCATGTAAATTAAGATATCGTTTCCCATTCTTAAACTCCTACTAAGCAAATCAGTTCAAATCAAACCAAACCAAACCAACCATCTGTTCATCAAATTACTATTTCTACAACCATCACCAGCATGATTAAAACAAAAAGAAAAGGCTTTAATCATTGACCTACCCTTGTTTGGTTTCTGAAACAAATTGCAGTCCCTTTTTATCTCCACAGGGTGACTGGTCTTGACAGAAGGAAGGCGCTTTTGCCCATGAAATGGACAATAGGAAGAAGAAAGAGAGATTCAATATATATATATATATGTAGAAGTACATACACACATATATATATATATATAAAATTAAAATTAACAACTGGACCAGTCAGATACATGAAAAAAATGAGCCAATCGGAAATTAGAAATCTTTAATAAAGAAAAAAAAAAAAAATTAATGGGAATCAATGTGGTTTTCCTTCATTTGGTGTGTGGTGGAGGAGAAAAATATCAACTTGTTCTCTGCTTTTTTAGCATCAAGGTACAGGAACCATGGGTTTTTTGTCTTCTTATTCGGCTCTTAGCCTTGCATTTGGCAGGGTTGGTGGGCCATGGTTAGGAAGCATATCCACCGTTTGATTCGATGACTGCGTTTTGACTTTGATTATTCTTTTTTCATCATGTGCTCTTTTCTAAAGATTCTGTCTATTTAACAGTCTTACTTGGCGTGCGGGCCGTACACGTGGCACAAACGTCCAAAATCTGCCACTCACGTGTCGTCAACATCTTTTCTTCGTGTCAGGCACTCTGCCAATGGTGGAAAGCCACGACATCAAACATGACGTCACAAGGCCTAGATTCATAGACGTGACACAACCAGGTATATATATATATATACACACACACATTAATCATCTTGGAATTAAATAATTATTTATTTTATACAAAATATTGCAGATATTTTTTTCACCAAAAATATACCCAACAAGCTTTTGGTCCAGTTATCTATCTGAGTTTTAATTTTAATGTGAAAATTTAAATTTTAGCTTTTATTTAAAAATTAAATTAATATATATTAAGATGCTTATAATAACTATTGGGTCTTGTAAGTATATACTGCTTTGATATTGGGTGGGAATAAATTCTTAAGTGAGACCAAATTTTTAAACTAGAATTACTATAATGAGATATTATTTTTTCCTGACATATAAATATAATTAATATATATAAAAACTTCAACAATTAATTATGATAATATCTAAATATTATATATATTTTAAAAAATTCAATACTAAATATTTCTTAATTGAATTTTCATAAATTTCAAATTTACCCCCCCCCACATTTAAACATTATAATAACTTCTTTAATCAAATAATGCTAATTATATCATAAAATTAAATTTTTTATTTTTTATTTTTTAAGATCACATAAGTTTATGTTGTTTGCTGTTCTATAAAATTATAATTTTAAATTATGTTTTAATTGTTTTCAGCTTTATACATTACAAGATTAAAAAAATTTAAAATTTAAACGTAAATGAAAACTATTAAATTTTAGAAATTAATTTAATAATTTAAATAATATAATAACACGTGCCACTATAAAATCTGCAAATAGAAAGTTCAAAAAAAAAAAAAAAAGTAAACAATACGAAGTACCCAATGAAAGTGGGAGCTGACGCCAAGAATTTTGGAATATGATCACAGTAAAGGAAGGAATTCTGGGACGATGATCAATTTCAGGCTTCGTTTCTATGTTTGATCTCTGATGATATCCGAGAAACGAAGACATGTTTGGCTGCAAATGCTTGTACTGGAGCGGTGTCGATAATTTCTCCCCTACTGAGCCTGAAACTTTCTCCCTGCCAGCACCAATTCCCCAATGGCCTCCAGGTGATTTGAATTGTTGGTTTGATTGGTATGATTTAGATCTAAATTCTCCTCTTACTTCTGTTTTTTCTTCGGGATTGGAGAGGTAGATGATGACGGGTACGCAATTTTCATCTACGTGTTCAATTGGGAATTTTCTTGAGATTATACTAGCCTCTTTATATGAATATGAAATACGGGTGTCTGTCTAGCTTTATTTATTTCAGATTACGGGTTATTATCTTCATGTTTCTTTGTTTTTCACTGTGCAGGAAGCTGAGAAATATTGGTGAATTTTTTTTCCTCTTTCTAAAAGTTTGTGAAGCTTGGAAATCGAACTTTCTTGCTTTGATGTTTCAATTTCATGCGAATGAAATTTTTTTCAATGTTTTCAGTGTATGGGCTTTTACCTAAGAGGTCTAATTAACATGTCTAAGATTCAGTTTTTCTCTTCCTCTTTTCTTGTTTTTTATTATTTATATTTTTAAATTAGATTGAGTTGATTTTTTAAGAAACTTAAACTGAGAGGAACAAAGACTTTGGTACTGCTCTAAGTCCAATGGCTGGCGAAAGAATGAATGAACAAATAATAGGAAGGAGAGTGGAGGAAAGAATGAGTTAACAAGTAATAAGAGAGAAACGAAGTTTTCAAAATTAGGATACAACAATTTTTATCTTGTGTCGTATTAAATAATAGATTAAAACTGATTATCTCAAAAGTATAAGTTGATAGAAATTGACAATCTAGTATTTATATATTAATCCATACGACCTGATTTGGTAGTAAACAATTATAATCAAGATACTACCTAATATAGTAGTTCTACTATATAAAATTGTTGCTTAGAGTAAGTTTGCTTTTCCTTTTAAAAAAAATCAAATAAATGTTTCTCACATGTTGTGGCTTTAAAAAAATCTTCTCTCAATTTTTTCCTAATGCTTTTCTGTAAAAAGAATCTAATGTCAGAGTATGTCTAGAAGGGTGGATTAGACACTCAAAATATCCTGACTTACCCTTTGAAATTTAGCTTTGATCTGCATTGAGCTCTAGCTTAGCTTTATGTTATATTTATCTAGCCATAACTGTTTCCAAACTTCCATGACTAGAGGGTCATTGCTCCTAAATTGTCACTTTGAGTTGCTGAATCTGTACTTTTTTTTTTTTCTGCATTTATATTGGTCTTTTCATGAATATAGGCTTTTATGCTTACAGCTTTAGTGGTAATGTTATTTAGTTTTTGTTTTCTTGTTGTTTTTAACATAAGCTCTCAATTCCCCTGCTGCAGCCTTATCTCTTTGATGGTTTGTTGCGAAACTCTCAGTAACTAAAGTCAATGTACAGGCAGAACTCATACTTAGTGGTTGCTCTTCATCTCTTAGATTCTCATTGCCTTTTTTGTGGGGAAAAAGTCATGAATGTGTATGCATGTATTCCCGTATTGTTTTGGCAAATGGAGTTTTTCCATAAAAGGTTAAATCAAATCACCAGTAGCAGCTTTTCATGATATAATGCTTAAGCTTCCCCTGAAATACCAAGAACGTAAGATGATTCAGGCAATTTGCATAAAAAGCCATGATATTTCTAGCGTAACTATTACCTGCATTAGGATTTGAATATAGAATTTTAAACTTTCTGTAAATAAGAAGTAAAATAGTGCAGAAAAGTAAGCGGCAGAAGATATTTATACAGTTTGTTTAGTCTGACCTACTCTACAAGAGAGGTGGATCTCAGATTCAATATAGAAAAGTATTGGAGATTATTGTAGTTCTCTCACACTCAAAATCTAACCCCGGGTATATCTAAATCTCTTAAAGTTAATGACTTTTGTGTATGCTGCTATATGATAAAAGCGTACTCCGGTACATTGGAGACCTTGTTTATTTGTAACTCAAGTCTAAATGAAATCAAATTATGTTATAACAATTTATGCCGACTCTTGTAGGTGTCATTTTTATCTATACAATTTAGAGTCTAGTAGCATGTCCGTTTATCATAATTTTAAGGATTTAAATTTTAGATTGTCAATGGTGAAACAAAATGTTGGAAGTAATCTTTTATCATTAGTTATTATACTGTTCAAGGCCTCCTGGTATCCTTTTGGGTATAGTTTGCTGTTTCAGAAGTTCTAATTACGTGGCTGCCTTCTCAGGTCAAGGATTTGCTTCTGGAAGAATAAATCTAGGAGAAATAGAAGTTACTAAAAGCTTCCGGCTCGAATTCATCTGGGGTTATAGTCCATCGCAAGACAAAAAGAAGGGCATTTCATTTTATAAACCAGTTGGAATACCTGATGGTTTTCATTGCCTTGGTCACTACTGCCAGTCTAATTCTAAACCTTTCAGAGGTTATGTTCTACTGGCTAGAGAATTAGCTTCTTGCGAACCAAGTGAAAATGTGCTTAGCCCTACTAACCTACCAGCTCTTAG